TTTCCATTAGTAATCAGCGAACTAAGGATGTCCTTGTGGTTAACGCTGGTGGGCATCTACACTCACGTTTAGTGTTCTAATCCATCCCTAATAATAATAACTAGTACAAATGCCCGTGCGTTGCAACGGGCATAAAAACTCGCAAAACATGATTCATGTGCTATTACTTCCATTTTTTACATTCAGTTATGATAAACGTCCATAATAAGATTACCTTGATTATTACTTTTTGAGTCTGAATTTTGAATGTTAAGAAGCCACCTTAGCTTTCTTCATCTGATAGAAGAGTAGTGGCTCATGGAATAGTCTCTGGATATTTCTTATTTTTTACTTTTCAGAAAAAACATGGATTTTTATTTATTTTAAGAAAGTGAACGCTTTATTAAAATTGGATTACGCTGGACATAAGCATCAGAATATATGCGTAGTATGCATGCTAGAGTATCATATTTTCCCTTGAAGCAATTTAGATAACAGTAACATGAAGTTAAAGTAAGTGCATTGCTATATACACCATGTTATTCGTCTGACTTTACTCCGTCAATGTCTAGTAACAAAGCATACCACACGGGAAGATTAACCATTGCACTTACATCAGGCAATAAAAATGTCGCATATCCAACATTTTCAAAGTAATTTTGTCTGGATGCAATTGTTTCTTGTTTCTTCATAGCATCAATGTTTGGGTCAAAAGGGTGTATAAGGTGGTTGCCACGTTCATCCGAACCACCTTCAACATGACCATCTTCAGGATATCAAGCATGACATCTTCTTCATACGAAATAACAACTTCATTAAAAATAATTAACTCGGTGGCTATGACATGTAAATGTCTATGTTTTGACACGAATGGTTTATTATGCACTCGTATAAATTGGAATCAACAAAGCACAGAGATAATTTATGTATTTACTTTATTGGGCGCCAGGCATATATATTTCTGCCGTGTGTGTCATGACCTATGTAGTTAATATGAGTACATCAAAAATCACAAATATATGCAAATCCAACTTTAAAAAAGAAAACAAAAATGTATATTCAGAGAGAGAGAATGCATGGATGGCGACAGTCAAGCGATTTTATTGGTAAATGGAGCGTGTCCCTCCTAGTAGTTAATCTATCTAGTTTTTTATTATTACCAAATCTGGTCAATTTAATCAAGTGCTCTCGTGTCCAGAGGCTAGTCGGGTGTCCACCGACCATCTCGCGCAAATGACGCGTTTCATCTGACCCCAAACTCCCACCGTTGTCTATCCCTCCTCCAACCTTATCTTCTCTCCTTCAACTACCTTTCAGTTCTTTCCTTTTTCCTTGGCCATGAGAGCAGGAGAGCATGTCCTCGTCCCTTGTGACCGCCCAGGCCGTCCCTTCCCTCGCTCGCGTGAGGTGCCTCCTCCAACCGCACCCGGAGATGGTGCCCCGAGCCGTTTGAAGCAGGCCAGCCAGCAGCCGCCCCTGTTCCTCCTCTCACTCGGCTTTTCCCTCTCCTTCTCTCTCAATTTTCACCATTGACAACCCCCGCAGCACCCGGCCCGCCATCTTCGGCCACCTCTTCGTCGGCCTCGTGCTCCTCCGCCTCGATCCGTCCGCCGCGCCACCGGATCCACGCCGGAGCAGCCGGATCCGCGGCCTCCTACCTCGTCTGCCGTCGGGAGAGCCGCCTCACGCAGGCCAACCGTCTACTCCTCTTCTCTGGGCTTTTCCCCCCTTCTCTCTCTCTCTCTCTCTCTCTCTCTCTCTCTCTCATCTCCGTTTTCTCCAGGGAAGGAAGTGGCCATGGATCACAACCCGCAGCACCCCTGCTCTCGTTGCCGGAAACCTCTCTGTCGGCCTCGAGCTCCTCCGCCTCGATCCGTCCGTACGACCCGCCGCCACCTCCTGCATCGCCTGTCGTCTGGAGGAGGACGACCGAGAGTAGTGCCCGTTCGTCCGCCACGTGGACTGGCTCAGCCCAGCTCGCCCGCTAAAGTCGTCGAGCATCTGCCTTGTCGAGGCAACACTCCTCTACCTCGCCCCGCACCGCCGCGGTCTCCTCCGCCTCCACCCGCGCCACCCATCTTCCTCCCTGTCCCCACCCCTCTCCCTCCCCACCCCTGCTCCCGCCCCTCTTCTCCCCGTTCAGCTTCCGCATCACGGAGCGCAGCCACCGGACCGCCGCGAACAGCGAGGAGCAGCATGGGCGTGGGGTCGAGTCGGGGACGCAAGCGTGGTCGTTATCCACTTAAAAAGGACTGCGGGTTGAATACCCCAAACCACATGGTCTTTTTTGTAAAATGTGCGACGACGTACGACCAGAAGCACTCCGTGCTTTATTAGTAGGGAAAGAAGTAGCGATCACTTTTGGTTGTCCGTCGCCTACATTTTGCAAAAAAGTCGTTGCACTTTCGTGAAATCAACCCGTGGTCCCAACTTAAGTGAGAGTAGAAAAACGTTTCATATTTAGCATAAAACCCCCTAAAGTTTCGGTTAATTAACCAGCAGTCCTATTTTAAGTGGGAACAGAAAACTCTTTGACTTATTCAGAAAACCCCCTGTGATTTATTCAGAAAACAGTCCGTCTAGATAATAACCTTTTTCATAGATTCAAATGTTTTTTTTTTCAAATATTCGTATCTTTTAAATCGTAACTCCAATTTTAGAATGTTATATATGAAAATTGATTAGAAAAATGTGTACAATATGAATATGATGTTAGTTTTATCCGTTAACCATTTTTAAATGCTGTTTAGGGACAAATTCAAATGCTGTAAAAATATTCATGTCTTTTAAACCCTAACTCCAATTTTAACATGTTATGCTGTAAATATATGTTGAATCTGAACATGATGTTGTTTCACATGTCATTAATTTTTTAAATGTTGTTTAGGATGGAACATTAATCAGTAGTGGATGATCTGTCTTTTTTTGTACTGATGCTGATTCAAATTGAAAATGAACACCTTAACAAAAACAAATTTGAGATAAAAGAAACCATCTATAACCATGCATGTCCATCGGCGAGAGCGGGAAGAAGGATAAATGGCAAGACTGGTAAGATGACAAGTTGAAATAAATAAGGACGGACCTATTGGGGTCTTGAGTCATGGTTATTGTGTTAGGGCCGTGTGGTATTTTCTTTCTCCCGTTGCAATGCACGGACTTTTTTGCTAGTCCCTATTTAAGCGTGTGCTTTTTTTCCTCGCAGTTTGCTTTTTCTTTTCTGCAGGTCTCCTGGGCCGGCCCATGTGGTGGCGCGCGCGGGCGACAGCTGCCTGTTCGGGCGCTTAAGGCGCCGAACAGGAGCTCCCCAATTGATCAGTCGACTATTGACTTTTGGAAAATACTATGGAAAGAAGAAAAAAAATCAAAACAATTCATGAATTTTAAAATGTTCATGGATTTTGAAAAAATGATTTCAAATTAAAAAATAACGAATTTGAAAAGGTGCACAAAATTTTAAAAAAAACTCATCGATTTTTATAAAAAACTAAAAAAAAAGTTCATCGATGTTTTGTTGGTGTTTGACATAGAAATTGCTAATGTTTTGCTTTAACTAAATGAATGTAGATGTATATATAAATCCTACTCCCTCTATTTTTAAATATAAGTCTTTTTAGAAATTTCAATATGAACTACATACAGAGCAAAATGAGTAAATCTACAATCCAAAAAATATGTCTATATACATTCGTATGTAGTCTATATTGAAATCTCTAAAAAACACTTATATTTAGGAACGGAGGAATTAGTTCTTTTGCTGCACGTGAATCAGTGTGGATCTACAAAAATATTTGAATGAATGTTGTTGTACAATAAATCTTAAGAAATCTTTTCTGTCATTTCAGTGCCATGGATAACACAAAAGGATTCAGAGTACTGGTGTATTGAATTTCATGCGCTGATGTTATCTCTGTATATTTGTACTTCCAGTGATGCCAAAATATGTACTGGTGGTATTCAGAGAAAACTGAATTCATGAGATAACATTCAGACGGCTAGAAGCGACAAGCCATGTATGTACTGGTGGTTAACATCCTCAGTCTTGCTAAATTCAGAGTTGACTAAGCCATCTGCTACAACCAACAGGAATCAGAATTAACCAATTAACCCCTTGTGGCTTATTACCCCGTCTAATTGTAGCTAGTAAAAAGGAACAGTTTGCCATGAGAAACAACATTCCTGCACAGCTATTCAGAGATACAAGGTCATCTAAAATGCATCCAACAAGTCAGCTTCAGTACAAATATTCAGGCAATGATTTTAACATCACTTCTATGCAGTAAACTGGAGCAAACAACATGCCGTGAGAAACAAGATTCTTGCACTGCGAAACAAAATTCCACCATGGCCATTTTGATGAATATTCAGACAAAAATATTCTGAAGGTCATCACGGTAGGGGACGGCTCCGTCGTCTGTCATCCCGATGGGGAACGGCTCGTCTCCGCCGTAGGCCGTCGCGGTAGGGGAGGCCCCGTCATCGGCCGTCGCAGTGGGGGACGGAAGCAGCGCCATGGCCGGGGAGGTGACAATGGATAAGGCGAAATTGTGGGTAGTATTATTTCCTACCCCATGGGTAAGACAGGGGATTATATAAAAAATAGCCGTAAGTGGCTGGTTAGCAAACCCACATCTCATCTGCGCCTTGTGTTAAAGATCCAACGGATTGGGTCCCAAGTTTTCAGATTTTCATCGAATCAGCGTTTTCACTACACACTTCGCTGTCATATAATTAGAAAAGGAGGGAGTATATCTTAAAACAGATGGGGTATATGTTGTAGAATGTGGACAACTCATAAGCACTTTATTGGATCATTTCTTGGTACAAGTTCAGCACGTCGCACAGATGAATATCAACAAGCAGTGCAAGAAGAGGAACAAACACGATCGCAACCATTTTACGGTGCAACACGAATAAGGAAATGCAATAATCACACACATACAGTACTTGAAAGAAACATTGCAAATCAAGGAGCTTGAAGCACGACGAAATCACCGGCTTCGAACAGTCCCTCGGTCTGTTTAGAAGTGGTTGACCCTCCTGCAGTTCTTCCTGATCTCGCCGTTGTGCCCGGTGAGCGGCGAGATGTTGCCCATCTTGACCATGGACTTGGCGAAGTGGTCGAAGAAGAGCTCGTTGCTGGCGGCGTAGCTCTTGACGAGCTCCATGGTCTCGTGGCTCTGCGTGAGCAGGACCTCGTCGGAGCTGAGCAGGCCGTTCATGGCGAGGATGTTCTTGTAGTATTGGTTGTCGAACCGGAACTGGGTGGCGGGGTCGAGGGCGAACAGGATCTGGTCGCCGCCGGACCGGGGGCACCGCCCGCGGAGCTTGGCCGCGTAGGCCGGGTTCAGCGTCGGGTCCGGGCGCCCGTCCTTGTTCTGGCTGTAGAGCCGCTGCCGGAAGCTCACGCAGCGCGAGTCGCCAATGGTGTGTGCTCCTGGATTGTTCATTGCATTTGCATACACCACATGTTACTTGCATGCGGCCATGCGGAATGGCAATCAAATCAAACACCTGCGACATGCGTGTATACCTGAGAGCGCGACGAGGTCGACGACGTCGAGACCCTGGTTGCGGAACTTGGCGGTGATGGTGGGGAGGGTGTCGTTGGGAGCAGGGATGAGGTTGTTGGAGCCGCTCAAGCTGGCGGTCAGCGAGTCCCTCCTCCCCAGTGGCACCTCCCAGCCCGGCCCGCCCGTCTGCTCCACCGGCCACCGGGTAAAGTTCATCAAGGCAAATCAACATTCGTTTTTGAGAAAGAAAACAATGCTCACATTGTGTTGCTATTAGTGTGTTGGATGGATTGCTGCATACCAGCACGGTGGAGTCCCTGGCGGCGACGGCGGCGATGTCGGCGCAGGAGACGGTGTGTGGGCAGGCGTGCTCGAGGGCGGCCTTGATCTCGTCGATGACCTCGTAGCCCCTCAGCGAGTCGCGGTTCGTGTTGGACCGCTTCTCGGTGGTGAACCTGCCGCTGCCGTCGGCGTCGAGCAGCACCGACGCGTCGCAGCCCTGCACGAAGCAGTCGTGGAAGTGCAGACGGAGCAGGGACGCCGCCATGCGGGGGTCCTTGGCGTGCTCCTTGGCCACGATGGCGCCCACCAACGCCTGCATCTGCGGGCACGTGTGCTCGTAGAACTGCGGGACCAACGGGCCTGGGAGCGGCGGGTGACCCGCAGCGCCCGCCGGGAAGAGCGCGGACACGGCCAGCGCCGCCACGACGGCGACCGCGAGGCCGCCGCTCCAGTGCAACGCCATCTTCTCGCGTTTGATCACTAGCTCGATCACACTCACAGTAGAGATGGCACGATCAATAACAAGCTACTCTGTGTTGGCTTGATTGAGGAGTTAAGAGGATTGCTTAGTTATTTATAGAAGCATACTGCACACATATGCAACGGGATGACGAGAAATTAAGTTGCTATCGTAATAATCTGATAATGTTATCCTGACGAGTTTGAGGCAGCCGGTAATGGCCTTTCCAGCACTCTTCTCATCTCCTCCATTGGAGCTTTTGCAGAGTAAGTACAACCTATGCACTTTGCACATTCGGTTCGGGCACACGTACATAAGAAGACACAGCACCGGTGAGAAAGGCACCAGAAGCTCTCTAAGAATAGATGGCATGGCATGCATCTAGTAAGTCCCTTAGCATGGCAGCTAGAAAGAGCTTAATTCACCTACCTAATATTTTTTTGCCGGCCTTGTTCAATATCACAGGCTACAACTGTTGGAAGAACCCTTGCCTTTCGGATATTGAATTGTCTTCACAAATATGCCCCATAAAGAATAGATGCCATCTTCAAGCTAGTAGTCTATGTTGTATTCGTGGTCGCTGACAACATAGTTGCAATGTGAAGCTTGACCAGTAGCAAGCCTTTTAAATGTAAGAGATGTCCGCGGGACAATGAGGGCATTGTGACAGTCAGGCATTTCAAAGTGCAAATGCCAAATCCACAGATCCAACTGCTTCGACAATGATGGTTAGATCATCACACGGTTGTATGTATTGTCCATGATATATGATGTAGGATTGTTCTTCCATGTTTAATGCATACAATTAATGGACCACATCATCCATGGCCAACCGCCCGCTTCACCTATAGCCATAAACCTCACAGTATCTTCATCAGTGGGTTTAAATATTTCATTCCTATTTTTGCGTATCTATTCACACCTCAAGGATGTCATCTTTCCCAACGTGAATGTACTAACGAATGTGGGTAGTTACAATTTCATATGCAAGCTCTCAAACTACGAAGGTTTACTTCATCGATGAACTTTCGCTCAACTCGAACCAAGGATCATGCCGCTCCACAGCTTGCGCAATGCACACAAAGGGATCATGTGCATTGATGCCTAAAGAGTTTCTACATATACACCGGGTTCGGCACAACGTAATTATTGGCAAGTTTTGCATGTCCATCTAGCCTATCATGATGGACGACCACATCGCGGTCTCCTCCCCTTCTCCTATCAAATGATCATGAACAATTCCATCTCAAAATCCTCATTTTCTTCTTATTCCTCTCAACAAGTGTCATCGAAGAAATCTTCCCATAGCCTCTTCATCTACACACACGGCAAATTCCTATGAGCAAATTCAGTGTGTAATGGTGATAAAGTGAGAGAAGGGAAAACAATTTACCTTGGGGACAATTCATCGAACACCTCATTGGCAAGAAGAGGAAGATCATAGTATATACTTTTATAGGACTTCAGTAGATCCAGAATTCTCATTGACTTCAAAGACAATGTACTATCAATATGGGCACATGCAAATTAAGTAGGGATGAACTTTATCTCAAGATACTAAATCTAATCTCATGTTTTCCACAACTTTCACTCAATTCCTCAAATTTTTTGTTTCCATGGTGCTTTTAAGTATTTCCTACCCGATACTACCAAGCCTATATTGAATAAGTCTTTCTACTATGCGGGCCTACTTATCTAAGATTGCTTTGGAACCATCGAGATTTTCTACAGTACCGCTAAACTTTGTTTTAGCTAAGACCTTCTCTACTAGCTCTAGTACCATTGAGTCTAACTCTTTACGACACTTTCGAGCACCTCTCAATTAGCTTGAGCCCGACGTCTTAGTACATGTCCTGTGCTTATGAGCAAAGTTCTATCAGGTAACTTATTTGTTTCTGCACCGATTCCATTATGACGCTTGCTATGTTGACCAGAGTACCTTCGAGAATCATTATCTCCAGTTCTTAGATTCTAAGCATGCTCCCTTTCTGGCGGAAATGAGTTTCCTTTATGTCATGTACCTTCAAGATTTTTGTTTCAGTTAGCTTCGGATATTTGGATCCTCGAGACACTTGACTTATATCCTGATACCTACGGGTGCAACCTACTTTCAGCAATGTTAGTTTTCCCTCATGTCGTCCAAATTTTATATGATTCTGGTAGTACAAAGGGAAAACTTTGGGACATCTAGGTAACAGTTAGATTTTTTATTCCTCTGTAAATGGACCTTGGATGTGAGCTTTTTAGAGCCTCTGAGAGAGCTTTAAGAGCAGAATCTTGAGAGATTGAAGACCAAACTCCTCCCTTTCTAAAACTCTTATTTGTTCTTTGTCTCTATTTGCTTCAAGCCTATCATGGTGAGAGAGGAAATCCTATAAGTTCTTGAGAGAGTTGACTGAAGATCTTTTGACGACCTCATCCAAGTAATTTTACGTTGCTTGTTACTTTTGTAGGGTGTGTGTCCCCTAGATGGTTAGGAATCACTTTAGAGCCTTTAATATGTGAAGGAATCAAGATTTTGTACAAGGCTTGTTGATCGCCTTCTTCATTAAAATCAACCTCGTGTGAATCTTTGGCCTTTACCCTGGTGGCATAGGTGAGCAAGTGCTTAGTGAGCTCTTACTAGGCCATATTGTCGAGACCTTTGTGGTCTTAGGACTTTGTGTCCGAACCTACACCAATGAGTAGTAGGATAGCACTAACTACCTGAACCTTGGGAAAACATCACCATGTCACCGTGTTTGCAATATCTTTTGTCTTACTCATACTTTTATGCAATACCTCTTCACGCCCCCGATAATCCCCAAGTGCAAGGAATTATTGTAGCACTTTCCAAATATGAAAGTGGTAAGAATGGAGTGCCGAACCCACAAGGAGCTAAAGGTAAGAACAATATTCTCTCAAGTCCTATCTGCCATTGATACGACCCTACGTACACCAAGTGTTTGCTTTTATCTAGAAACGAGAAATAAAACTACGAAGCGGGTATAAAGGGATAGCCTTGCAAGATCATAAACATAAAGGTAGGTGCTTCCTAAATAAAGATAGAATATATTACGATATAATACAAATAGAGAGTGTGCAATAATGGTGGTAGGGTGTGTAGAGTTGTCCATAGGCAATTTACTACTCCCTCCGTCCCATAATATAAGAGCATTTTTGACACTGCACTCTTATATTATGGGACAGAGGGAATAGTTAGCAAGTTCTTATGTGGGAGAGGCCTTTGCTAGCATGTCGTCCCTTGCTTGGAACTCTATGCACTTATGATTGGAACTATTAGCAAGCATCCGCAAATACCAAAGTTTATTAAGGTAAAATCCAACCATAACATCAAGATAAATTAGCCCCCCTCAGTCTCGTATGTATCAGTTTCCATGGTCAGGCTAGGTTTTAGGCACTCCCGCAGCCACATGCATGCATAGTCCTATCAACATACAACTAACACTATGGTGTGACCCACACGCGCACTCATATGATGGGCACCAAAGGACAACAACACAACGCTAAGCAATGAAATCAGTCATATCAATTCACCAATTACTCATAGAACTACAAAGATCTACTCAAACACAATAGCGATGACCCAAGTCATTGGATAATAATTCATAGCACAACAACACCATGTTCAACTAGGGGATTACAGTGGGTTGCGAAAGAGTGGACCACTGAAAAGAGATGAGGAAGGTCATGAAGACGACGACATTGATGAAGACGGTCACCATGGGCGATGGTTCCCCTGGCGGCACTCCAGCGCCAATGGGAGAGAGCCTCCCCTCCGGCTTGCTCCTCCATGGCCTCACCCCTTGATGGGGAGAGGTTCTCTCCTCTGGTCCTTGGCCTCCATGGTGCCCAGAGGGGCGAGAGCCCCTCCGAGATTGGGAGGTTGTTCGGTTCTCACCTATGTGAGCCCTGCCAATCGTTGGCTAGCCAATTTATTAGCGCAGCATTTGGCTGCCCCAGACTTGCCAATTTTTTGGCGTCGAGTTGAACTAGGAAAGATGGAGTGGGCTGGGCGCACCAAAATATTGGTTCCCATCCAAATGGGAAGCCAGGATTGGTCAATGACCAATATTTTGGTTTGGCTGCCGAGGGTTGCAATCCAAACAGCCCCTAGATCTCTCTCTCCCTCTCCCTCTCCCTATCTTTATCTCTCTCTCCTCTGTTTTCACCTGTGTTTTATGGCCTTTCACCGTTTGTTTCATAGCCGGAGAACTATAATTCTGATTGGGCTGAAATTCCCACGAGATTTTCCTCCAGAAATTAGCCTTCTTACGACGAAAGAAGTGCTCCAACCGACCTAAGGGCTGCCCACAACCCACCCTGCGTGCCTTGGGGGGTAGGCACGTCGGTCTCGCTTGTGGGGCCCTCAGGCACAATATTGCGTTGATTCTTTCTCCAAAAAATCACATGTTTTCCATAGACAATCTCCGTAAATTTTCATCGTGTTTGGACCTTCATAGATATGGATTTTCTGTGAAACAAAAACATGCAAAAAATAGGAACTGACATTGTGAACTAGATTAATAAGTTAGCCCCTAAAATAATATAAAAGTGCACCCAAACCATATATAATTGATGTGAATATAGCATTAATATTTCAAAAATTATAGATATGTGGAGACATATCCTCATCCCCAAGCTTAATTCTTGCTCGTCCTCGGATAGGTAAATGATAAAATAAACAATTTATGAAGTGTGAATGCTAGAATAGAACGAACCTTCGATCACAAAGGAAATTATAATTTTAATAACATGTAACATCATTTCATTAAGCTCAGCATATCATAAAGTGATAATGAAGTATCTCGGGAATCTTTCGAGATTATATTGCAAACATAAAGCAACCAACACAGTAGAGATGATGACTAGGTACTCCTATTTGAAGGTAAACATCATGCATATACAATGCTCAACAAATTACTACTCCCTCTGTCGCAAAATAAGTGACTCGACTTTGTACTAACTTTAGTACAAAGTTAAGTCACTTATTTTTGGGACAG